GTGGGGATCTGCTCCAGCAGCGTGGGCTGCAGGGGCACAGACTGCCTCACCATGGGCTTCACCACCGGCTGCAGGGGCACCTCTGCTGCAGTCCTGGAGCACCTCCTGCCCCCCTCACCCACCTCAGTGTCTGCAGAGTGCTTCTCTCACATTCCCACTCCTCTCTTCACCTGCCAGTGCTACTGTGCAGTAGCTTTGCCCCCTTCATAAGAGTGTTACCCCAGAAGTGCTGCCACCGTGGCTGACTGGCACCGCCCTGGGCAGCAGCAGGTCCCTCTTGCAGCCAGCTGGCACTGCCTCTGCCAGACTCAGCAGCTGGTTCTAGCAGCTCATCACAGCCACCACCACCACTAATGCTAGTGCTGAACTCCTGTCAGCATCCTCTGCACTGCCATGTGTCACACACAACCCACAGGAGCCTTCTCGCTGCGGGCTGGTCTGTTCTTCAGCAAAAATGACTCTTCCCTTCTAACACTGAAAGATGAAGTGAGCAAGTACAAAAACCCCATTGCCAAGAGCCACAACCTTTGCAGCAAAAAGGGCTGTAGGTTTGCAGGAAGAGTTCCTTGTTCTTTTCCCTTCACTGAGAGCTTTACACTTCAAGCTGCAAATCCCTTGGCTCCTGCTCCAGCAAATCATCTAAAACCCTCACAGGTTATGTTTAGCAAGCAAAAAGGTTCTCCCAGATCCTGGGAAAAGGTCTTGGCATTTTGCACAACCAAGCCCCCGGAGCCTAACCAAACATGGAGTGCCACCAACAGAAACACTCCTCTCACCCCTGGAGAACAGAAGGGACCACAGTCCATTGTACAAAGATTTTTTGTTGTTGTTCTTCCTATTGAAGTGGCTGAGTTTGAGTTTGCAGCTTTTGTAGCAGTCACCCCAACTTTCTCCACTGCTCTATCTCCATCAGTACTATTGGGATTGAAAAAACCTCTGTGTCTATGGCTATTGAACTTGTCTGGCAGCTTCCAGCCCCCGGGGGCAAAGAGCTCTCCTGTAGTGGCTCGGTGGAGAAGCCATCCATCCTGCCTGTGCCACAGCAAGGAGGCTCAATTACACGCTCAGCTTGGAGCAGTCAGGTCCAGTATGAGGCACCAGCTAAATCCCAACATTCTGTGCTCTGAAACCCATGGGATGAGACACTTACTGCACAAGAATGGGTGTTGCTGTCACATTTGAAAAGGCAAACCCCAGGAATTAACACTGGCAATATTTGCACATGCATTACAGTTTAAAAGTGTGTTTTGAAATGCTACTTAATATTTGGGGCAGATTATCCTACTGGAGGAAATGTTATAAACACTTGCAACTAATTTGACTATCGTGACTAGAAAAAAGACACTCAACTAGACTATGTTCCTACATGCTCTTCGAGGTGCTCAGGCTTCCCCAGTAAAGATTTATACTTCCTATGGGCCACCGTGGGCTAGTTACTGAAAGAGAAATACAAAAGCCCTGTCCTGACACCTTAACTCAGATTTATCCCAACCACTTTTTCATTATCTGGACAGAGGTGGCAGAGGCAACTTTTTGAAAACTGTAATTATAAATAATATACAACATGCAAAGCTTTACATTTATAGCTGCCAAAGTAGTTTACCAAAATCAGAATGACAACTGAGATTTTTATACAAAGAAATTGTTACATGCCCAGAGCTGTGTTGCTCACCAGGAACAGAGAGAAACAGAAATCAAGGCTAACTAATTCAAGTACTTCTTTCCCCAGTCACTTGCCAGGCCTTCAAAAACATGGTACACAGTTTTTAGGGCCACGTATTAAATTGGATTATGCCCCTGCATTTCTGGCAAGTCGTGTGCACGACCCCTCAGTCTGATAGAACTTGGCTTGATCTGAAGCCACTGCCCCACACAGCCCAGCCCAGGCATCTTGTGCATGCTCATTAATGGCCTTTGTTGTACTCTGTCTTTCCCTCCAAAACCATCTGAAACAACCAACTCTGGGTGCCAGAGAGATAACAGATAAGCAGATAAGAGATAATCTGGGGACTAAATCAGTTAGCTGCAAGAAAAATGGTTTGCATACTAGGTATGCCCCAGTAATGAAGTATTTTGCTCTTCTATAAAATATATTGACATTAAATAACATATAACACAGGGATCTTCCAAAATGTACACTTCAGCTCTTAGCACAGCAGTAACCAGGTTGTTTTTGCAGACTTCTACACCAAAAATCAATGTAATGCTCAAAGCATCCCCTGGATAAGCTGGGTCTAACACCTGAGTTCACATACAACTGGACACTGTGTGGAAATTTTGTAGATCTTCAGACTGCCCAAGTTACAGGAGCCACTAACATTACTTCTTTTCATGTTGTTTGCAGAATTAAACATCTAAACCTACCACTGTACCATTAACTCTACAGGATCTGAAGAGCATGAAGGCTGTGGCTCTCCTTATCTGTCTTACAGGATCAGTGCTGGCTATTCCAGTAAGTCCTCATTGTGCTATTACTACTGGGCACTCAATTTCCCCTTTTCTGAATACTCTGTTTTATTCCACTGACCTATACAAGATTTCTATTTATATGTAGTGAATATATTACTCTAATTTAGACCCAACTTTTAAGCTACAACCTTGGAAGCCATGGACAGAAAACTCCAGAGAAGGTACTCTTCTTGTCCTTTAAACATTAACAGGCAACCTACATATTATTAATCTCAAATATATAAAACACATTATCACATAGGTAGTGGTTGGCAAATTAATTTAGGTTAAAAAAAGGTAGGCCACCTCACTCCAAGAATCAGCACCAAGCATCTCATACTTTGCTTATTACATAGCTAGAAACAGAACAGGACAAAACCTAAAGCTCACAACTGAAGTTACACGTATCTGAAAAAATTACCTTAACTGAATCCTCGTGTATAATCATTACATCCACATCAGCACAAAGAACAAGCTCCACTGGCAGTCAAAGTTCTGGTTATCACTGCCCCAATAAACCAGCACACAACCCTCCCTGTCCCACCGAGTGATCTGATGCAGTCTCAAACAGGTGACAACTTCAGCCACTGTATGTTTCACTATTCACAGTCCAGAGCATTGGGTACAGCCCACGCTGGAAGAGTGGACAGTGGCTGGCAAGGCAGGGGACACAAGGAGACAGAGGACTTCAGCACCCCCGTGCCACGCGTGGCTGCTGATGGGAGAGCTCACAGTTCTGCACTCATGGCTGACCCAAATGGAAACGCCATCCTCTTGCACCGTTCTGGCCAGCACCTGCAGTGCAGACACAGCCTTGGCCTGAAGCCAATGGATGTTCTGAAACAACCAAGCTCAGAGTGTGCTCTGTAGTAAGAAATGCAAAATCCCAACTCTTATGCTAATCTTTTTTTTAAGTTATGAATTGTATCCCACTCTGTAGCTTTCTGGATGCATTTCATGTCCATTTGGATGGTGCTCTGCATTAAGAAAACAAAAAAATTGAACTTTTCCTAGTGAAGCATCCACCAGAATAGATCACGGTATAAACACCAGTTTTCAGCCTACAGCTGTCCCCCAGAAACAACTCGGACAGAAGAACTTACATCAAAACTGAACAGTGCCATACCCAATGAGGCATCAGTTCCAAGTGACTATGCAACATCAAAGGCCAGTTGTCCCCTAGCAGTAGCTAGTTACAGCTACATGGACTGAAATTTGCCATCATATTAAGAGATCCAAGTATCTTCACAGGCAAATGGGTTCTGAAAGTTTATTTTATCCTGGGAACAATGGTATAGCAAAAAGCAGCAGCTGAAAGCCACCTCCAGGCACATCTCTGGCCCATAAGGAAGCTTCCTGTCAAGCCACATCTTGCTCAAAGTTCTACTTCAAATACAGGCACCCATAACAAACAATCTCAATGACTCTTTGGCCTTGTATTTTCTAGGTCTATAGAACTGGAAAACCTTCACAGAAGAATGGCTTTTGCTTAAACTTAAAACCAGAATATGTCACACAGAGCATTGCCCCAAAACACATGTAAAACCCCTGTACTGAAAATTTAATTTTAAAATGTTTTAATATCAGCTTGAGATGATTGGTAACAAACAGATCACTTTTTATAAGGTCTTAAATAAACATGCCTTTAATTTGGAAAAATCTCTTCACCGAATTTCCTTTTGATTTGAGCAAAGATACTATCTTTCCCTGAAAAAGTTCTGAGCTGGAAATGATATAGTGAATGTATTACCTAGGACTTTTCCTGCAGCCACAAGTACACTAGACAAAAGACAACTTGTAAAACATTCAGATACCACCTTAACATGAAGCAACGGGATATATCGGATCTGCCAGGAGCCACATTAATATCTCTCATCCTCCTTTTTTGCTCTGTTGTAGTGAGCAGTAAGAACACTGAACACCCACAGGCCCTGCTCAGAAACACAGGAGGTGTTGCTGCTGTTGGAAGTGCCTGTGCTCACCCAGCAGCTGCAGAGGTGCCAACAGTAGGTTAATTCAGCTAGGAAGCAAGGATGTACCAGAGTCAAAGCAGATGAAAATGTTCATTATGAAATAGTGCACTGATCAGGAATTGCTTCCTCATCACCTTGTGAAAGGTGCTGTCTTTCCCTCTGCCCCTCGTTTCCCAGGCCTCCCATTTATCTGTCTAGGAAAATGAGTTTCACATCCCCCTCCTCCGAGGGTAAGTGATAATTACTGCAGCCTACACGCCCCTGAAGTTATGAACTAAATTACTAATTAAGCATTTTGAGATCTCATGAGACAGCCATGTGCATCGATCTCCCAAGAGATCTTGAACAGAGTTGCACAGATTTCTTCAGAAACTCCAGCAATAGAAGGGTCAGATGAACAAATGTGCTGAGAAATGGAATGACACCAGCTGCAAATTTCCTGCTCTGGGGCTTAAGGGGAGGATTTACAAAGAAAACCAAGTCAGTGTCATGCTTTGCAATACAAGGCAAAAATAACATTGCATTGACTTCAAATAAATTCTAAGATTTATTAATCTACTTGTTCATTCTTCTCTTCAGACTGAAGATATTAATCCTGAAGCCTCAAAGGAAGAGAATGCAGGGTATGTAGCCAAAGGTGATTTGCTGCCCAGACACAAACCCCTAAAACCAGAGGCATCGGTGCCAGACACGGGGAACAGGGATGGGCCTCAGACCACTAAAAGACAAGGAAGAACTGGTACTGAGCATCAGATGAAAAACAGGCTGAAAAGCATCAACTTCCTTGCCCTGCACAACAAACCAGATTTGTCTTCTGGTATGCAGGACGTTGACTCTGGAAGCAGTGGCCGAGAACTGCCTAGCTCTGAGCATTACCAGCCCAGGGGCCATGAGAAACACAGAAATACAGCAAACCAACACACCATGGGCAATGCAGGAGATCCAGGGCATGCTCTCAGTCCTGGTCCAGAGCATAACATGTGGAAATACAATAAAAATGCAGTTGGCCTCTCTGATGAAAACAGGGAAAGGGAAGAAGAAGGAGTTATGGAAGAGGAGGATGAGGAATGGGGTGAAGCAACTGATTACAGATATATGAAGTACAAAGGCCACCAGAAAAATCAAGGTAACCAACACAAAAGACAGCAAAATGAAACCAGCATGAAATCTGACAAAATCCTGAGACATTCCAGTCAACCAATCCGGATAACCAAGAGACATCATGAGAAATTTGACCTAGAGGAAGAAGAGAGGAAGAACAGCCAAAAGAAGCTCCATCAAGAAGAAATCCTGCTCTCTCAAAAAGCCCACAGTGAAGGTCAGGGTGACACACAGCAAAGCCAAGAGACAAAAGACAATATTCAAATAAAGTATCAGAGTGATCAGGACACAGCAGTGAAAACACAAGGCACAGAGGACAGTAATGGTGATGATGAGCGTGACAGTGGCCATGCTGAGGGCAAGGAAGATCTCAACAACACCTGGAAAGAAGCAGCTTATGAGGAAGAGGAGAGAATCCAGAGTAACGAGCAGGAAAACACCAGTACTGAGCACAAAGGAGAAGGAACCACTGAAGATGATACTGCAGTTCACAGAGAGACCAAGGATTATCAAGATGTCAAGACTAAAGACCTTATTCACTCTGAACAAGGTGACTATGATCATGAGCCACTTAATTCTGACAGCAAGCAACAACTGGAAATGAGTAGCTCTGCTCAGAGCATTAATTCAATGGAAAGTGAAGATAAGGTAAATTCTCTTTAAAATAAAATTGAAAAACTAGAAAAAGGGGGAGGGGGAGACATGGGATGACCATTCCCAAATTTAAATTCCTGATGATTGAAAAGACATTTTGGAGAAAAACAGGTGTAATAATTTCTTAATCTGCAGAAGTCTCATCTCCCCTTTTATTCACTATCCATCTGGTTCGTGCTCTGTCACCTCACACATAACATTTAGATTAATTGTACCAAAAAGGAAGTGAGCACAATTCACGTGAGAGCTCCAGCTCCAGTGGGCTGTGTAACGAACACACAAAAATAAATAGGGATACACAGACAGAAAACCTGGAGCCAACTAGAAAAGCCTGTTCACTCCTCTCTCCCAAAGATGTGAAATACTACCACACAAAAGTGAAGAGCTTGGAGAGGCAAGGCTAGAGTCCCTGCAATAATTACCACCCTCGTGGCTATGGCACTCTGACACAAGATTAAGGATGTGAGTTTTACCCCTTCAGACAAAGAAGGATGTTGCACCCAGACCTCCCATACCCCAGTCAACCATTAGACATCTGGTGGACTCTCAGAGGTGTTCTTCAAGGGACAGGAGGGAGTTTTCCTGTGGCTATTAAATAAGGATAAAATTAAAATAAAATAAGGGCAAGCACATCCCAACAGCACCAAAGAAATGTCATAACTGAGGATACATCCTTCCCTTTTGCTCCTGCCTCGTGTCCAGCCTGGCAGCTCACAGTGCTGCTGCTTGCAGGCTGACCTGGAGGGCCCTGGGGCAAACTTGAAGCACCAATTCTGCCAACCTCAAGGCACTACACTGCCATATACCGAGTACTGCAGAACTTCCAGGTGTTCAGGCCTTGCTGAGCTCCTGTTTCTCTCTCTCTACACTTCCTACTTTTTTTCTTTCAATTAACAGAGCACCTTAATATTACCAGAGGCTTTTACTGCATAGCAACCTCTTTTTGCTGCCAGCAGAACTAACTGTGCTTCAGTCAGCTTTAAATTTATACCTGAAAAAAATAATTTTTTTCTTCTTCCCAAGCTTTACCACAACTTCTGCTTGTGTCTCTGTGACCACACAGGTTCAGACTACAGGCACGTCCTACGGCGAGATGGAAGGTGCAAGTGACAGGAGGGAGAGAGCTCTCCTGGGTAAGCCACCCGCAGAGCCACCAGCTGCCCGGCTGGGGCTGGGCACCTGCTGCTCTGCACGCCTGCCTCTGG